ATATATATATATAATTTTATTTTTAACTGACGTGGGATCGTAACAATGCTTAATTTAATGATAAATTTACAATTGGCAAGAGGAGGGGGCAAGCATTGAATTTTATCACCATCCCTTAATTTTAAATATACAAAATTTATTTATTCCTTAGTCCCAATTCTTCCATAGTTCCAATATACAGAAGAAGAACATAACAATTTACAAAACAACCAGAACCAGAATGAAGTGACAACCAATTCAATCAAAAGCTATAGGTCATTCAAAGTTAGACCTTACATAGACTGTTATTAAATTATATTAAAGAAAGGTTATTAGTAGTTCCCCAAAGCCATATAAAAATCAAGGGCTTCCCTTTTCAAGAAGTTGAATAGAGGCCTTGGAGATGGAAAACCATTAGCAATTGAAAAAAAGTTGCTTTTGTGTTTTGTCCCTTTCTGTTTTAGCTGGGGATGTAAATGAATCGAATCGAGTTGGGTATTTCACGATTGAGGTTCAGACTCATCTATTTGCAAAGAAGTTTAAAATCATAAGTTACAAATATCTTGTATTTTGTTCAAATTTGAGTAGTTAAATTTTTTGTTGAAACTTGGACTCAACTTCTGTAACTCTTTCCGAAACTTAAACTTGACCCGTCAAACTATTACATACGAGCAATAGTATTGGGACATAATTTATTGACCTAATTCACTATAGTTTTTGGATTGACTATGGACCCCATCAAACATTAGAACTTGGTGTCGATCCAATGATTTCACTGAAACCACATCATCAGATCAACAAATTATGTCAGATTTTTATGTGCATATAACATTATTCATTACATATTATATACACATTAACAAGCTCAGACGAGTTGAGCAAATCACCTTTCATGATCAACTCATCTATGAAGCAAGCTTTCAAATTAAACCTAAGCTCGGATCTCTATATTCTAAAAGAAATGAATCTACAAAGTCGGAGAAGTCTCTAAACCCACATTCCTAATATTCTAAATTTTTAAGTGTCATTGGTGTGTTTGTTAACCCAAATTCAGTACTTGAAAATAATGTATTCGACACCTTTTAATTAAGATCGTTTGATAACTAAAATTTGAATATCTTAATATATTAAGTAATTCTTAAAAATAGGCTACAATAATATTAACAGTTGAAAATACTCAGTAAAAATATTTTTAATAATATTTACAAATATTTCACAATCCTATTAAAACTCTAATTAGTCTTCTCTCAAAAACTCTCAATCTATTTATCCTCTTCGTCGTCATCGTCTTCTTCAACGACTCAGATAAGTCTTATTCCATTTTTTTTTTTTTTTGTTGGTAGTAAGTCTTCTTCCATTTGGTATATTCAGTTTGTGATAGCTTAGGCAATTAGGCTATCGTTCATTCCAATCTCCAATATCAGCCATTGTTAGTGCAAACCCCTATTGTGTTTATGATGGACTTAGTTTATTCTGGTTACTCGGTGGATTAGTTATACTTTGGATGAATTTTATTTCATGTTATATCAAGATATTTGGTAAAAAAAAAAAATATACACTGCACACCCACCCGCATACACATTAAAATCTAAATGTTCTAATTTGTTCTATTTTTTTATTCAAATTAAAATCTAATTTATTCTATTTTCTAAAATACTTGTTGAATATTTATTAGTTATTATTCACTTATTGTGTTACTCAATATATAGACTATAATATGATAATAATGATTATGATTTATGCTATGAGTTAAACTGATTTGATAAATCATAATTTTTTATTGGATAAAAAATATTTTATAAATATTTTCAAAGTAAAGAAAAGAAAAGGTAAAACTAAAAATTGATTTATTTTCAGACATCAGCTCTAGATGGTTATCAAATAATTTGATTTAATTCAGTACTTAAATTTAAGTGGGTATTAAACAGTCCACAAATTTAACATTCAACTTTCGATTTTATCAAACACCACCAAACATTCCATTTTAATTAATCTAATTTTAAGGAATTAGGATAAATGTAACTCTTTGAACCGATAACTCTTAAATGTAAATTTTAAGGAATTAGCATTCAGCATTCAGCATTCAGCATTCAGCATTCAGCTTCCCGTTTGGTAACGTTTATGTTTTTCGTTTTTCATTTTTATTTTGATATTTAGAGAAAATAAAGAAAAAAAAACTCGTTTGATAACCGTTTTTTTTTTCTGTCATCGTTTTATAAACGAAGGGCGATTTTCAAAAACGAGAAAAAGACGTTTTTCGTTTTTTGATTCTATTTTTTATTTTTTTAAAAATTAAAAATCATAAACATTATCAAACGAGGCCTAAAAGTTCTCCAAACATTTCAACACTTTCAAGTGTCAACTATCCCCAGATAGGTGTCAGCCCCTCTCCCTAGAAGCGGTTGCTATGTATATACACATGGTATAAGAACAAAACTGCTATAAATTTGACATTAATTTTGCAATGATATGAAATTTTACATATTTCAGGTGGATGCCAATGCATTGCATTTCACTTTTTATAACAATTTTCTTTTCCATGTTATTTTTAACGAATTATTATTTTTTATCTTATTTTTAAAAATACTTGTCTAAAATTGTATCTCCTATTCAAATCAAATAGTACTTTATATAAATATATGTTAATATGCAAATAAATTGATAAAGGTTATTTATGGTGCATTTGTACGAGGTACCGGTAATTTTTTTATGAATGAATTTGAACAAGTTTCGAACCAAGTCAATCTCAAGCTATTCATGACTAGGTCCGTTCGCTTGTGGCCCCTAACTCTAGAGAAGACGAAAAGGACGATGATGGAAGAAATAAGAGAAATGGAATGTCCTGTTGGGTTTGCAGTTCTAGCATTTTTTATGAAGATTGGTGGGTCATACTGTCAAAACTCCAGATGCTTTTACTTCTTGTCAGCAGATTTATAAAATCGGACCGGACCGATCGATTAGACTAATAAATTGGTGAATCGGATCTTAAAACAGTCTGATTTACTTAAAAGACCGTCTATGTATTCAAACTGTTGAAGAACTGCTAAATCAGCGGATTTTGTCCAAAACCAATGAATCTGACGGTTTTCAAAACTTCGCATACCCCCAAAATTTCATAAATTTCTCGTACCCAGTTCCAGCTTTCATACAACCGCTTTAAGAATTATTTTGAATAAGCATGTTGAAAGATATTCTTATACAAATAATAACTCAATTATGGGCAAGCGTGGTGAACCAAAAATTATAATCAATCATAATACTAAATTATAATAATCAATGGTTGATTTAAATTGGTCCAAGGACATGGGTCAATTCCTATATTTTTTGGATCAATCTGAGGTTTTTAAACTTCGTCACCTTAGGGTTTTTTGGTCACTATTTTGAATTGTTACAAGAGAGGCGATGATGAAATTCTAACTCGTAACCCAACAGTCTAATGGCAGACTGTAGTGACCATTAAACGAACCACTGATCCTCCTCCTCTGCTTAGTAAGTAGACCTTATTACATACCCTAAATTTGTATGGAAGAGTTTTCAAATTGGATTAATAATAGTACCCTGAATAAAGTAACAGATAAGCAAGAGAGAAGTGTATACACTGCAAAATTGGGAGGCCTCTTTTTTAACCCTTTAATGCCCTTGAACTACCAAAAAATACCAATCATGTCCCAAAACCCTCCCCCTCTCTCTCTTCATCACTCTTCCGTACATAAATCAATAAAGTGGAGACCGGTGAGGCGTACCCTTCCGCCGGTTCATCATAGCCGCGGAGATTTCGGAAACCGGTGCACAAATCGGCCGACACGCCACCCGAAACGCCGAAACACTGCTACGTTTCTTCCTAACAATTTCAGTTGTCGCCGTACAAGCAATTGTCCGGCAGCCCACTTCACCGGCGGTGCCACCACTGCCACTAGTCCCAGACGACGTCCTCACCGAACAGGCCGGTTCGAGAACCGAGTCAGGTGTCATCTGGCCATCTTCCAAACCCGGTTCAGGCAGAGTGATGTGCTCACGCTTGTGAATGTACCTTGAAAGCTCATCTCCGGTTCTGAGAATGTATTGAAGCTGCGAGAAAACGAAGAGACACCCGGATAAAAAAAGGCAAAACTGTGAAGTTGGTCAGAGAGAGAATGGAGAGTTATGGAGGTTTTGTTGGGGTTTGAGAAAGTTAGGGTTTTAGGGACATGTACCTTGCAGGAGAGAGAACAGAATAGATATGGGTCTTGCAGGCCTCTGTCACAGGTGATGCAGATGTTGCCGGAGCCCCTTGATAACCTTGTCTGTGGCCTTTGATTTAAAAATACCACTTTTGCACTGTTTGTGGTGTAAGACTGAAGAGAGAGAGAGAGAGAGAGAGAGAGAGAGGAATATTCAAGAAATGCTTCAAAAAGGTATAAAAAGAAGGAATTCAAATATTTATTTTCCATAGTTTTGTGTTCTGTTGAACATGTTTTACTTACTTGAACAAAAGCACAGTCCATTAATTTCTCAGCATCGCCCAGCCTTAAAACGTCATGATAGACATACCTTCTTATCTGAAACCAAAAACCAAACAATATTCAAGAAGCCCATACAGAGATAGAGAGATTTCTGAAGAATTTAATGGTGAATTTTGTGGGTATATACCTGTAAAAGACGGTGAGAGCGGTGAGGGGTCAAGCAGTGAGGGCAAAGGCTCTCGCAACAGTCCAAACAAAAGATGTTTTTTTCATTCTTTTTAGCTTCTTCGTGAATTATGCAGGCGTTGAAGAACTTCTCACTCAAGAGTGCTTCAACCCAACGAGGAAGAAGATGAGAACAATTCAACTGCAAAAACATTCATTGAAATCAAATTCAATTACTTGTCAAAAGAAAATGAACATATTTACAGTGCACAAAACATAGTTTTTAGAGACAGAGAGACGGAGAGACACCCCCACCATCTTTGATTTGTGTATCAACTACCGAGTATCAGACTACCAGTGATGAGAGAGAGAGAGGGATTTATGGTTGATGGCGGTAGAGAAGGCTCATCAGCAATTCTAGGAAGAGATAACGATTGTGTGCGTGAGAGAGCTTGTTTTAGGGGAGAAAGATACCGTCAGGGATGACAAGAAGAGGAGAGAGAGAGAGAGGGGGGGGGGTGAGAGGAGTGTAAGAAAAGAGAACGGCGCCTGCAACTGATGCTACTGCTACTGTTACCAATGAAAAAACAGGAGAGAGAGAGAGAGAGAGAGGCTGGCCTCATTTAAAGTTGGGGTGGTGGTGTGTGATATTGTGTAGTGATTTGTGTGTACTACTTGTACTCAGCTGCTGCATTGTATTTGTGGAGTGAATTTCATGGACAAAATGAATAAGATCAAAAAAAAAAAAAAACATAACAAAAATGTGTCTTTAGCTTAGAAGAATCATTAACCTAAAAGTTTCCGATTCAATTGTCGCTAATAACTCTTGACCTTATCCATGGCTTGTGATTTACGGATGATTATAAATATTTATAATTTATTATAAAAAATAGAACTATGACGAATTTGTATTTAAGAGACATCTCCTTATTAAAAAAAAAAAAGTAGAATATGCATTCTTTTGAGAATTACAAGTAATTTGAAGAGTAGTTCAAGAGTTAACAAAAACAAATTATAAATTAAAAAATTTTAAATTTAAATCTTGATAATTACGTGAAATTAGGTCATAAGAAATTCATGAATACTCTAATCTTGATATAAATGATATTTTTTTACTAAATTAAAAAAATAATTAATTAATATACACATAAATTGTTTATGATCCGAATATCTATTACTCTTAAACCATAAAAAGAGAGATTCTCATAGAGATGAGAATCGCAAATCAAAATAAAATACCAAAAATTTCATTTTACTATTGTTTACAAAGAACCCATATTCCCAGAACCATAGAATTGTAACCATATGGGTCTTCATGTAAGGTTGGCTTCTTGACTAAGCCCCCCCTCTCTCTCTCTCTCTCTCTCTCTCACACACACACACACACACACACACACAAAGCTAAATGACAAGACCAAAGATGGTGACTTTTCTCAGTTCTCGGTGTGAAACGGTAAAAGAGATGGGGCTACGGGGGGATTAGGGTTTAGAAAAACAGATGACCATTTGTTAAGTGACAAATGTAGCATGATCTTCTTGGGATATGTTTCAATTAGAGGGCAGGTTTATCTGGAGGACTTATCAGGTTGACCATGGATACAGATACAAAAATACTGAGACGAGTCTTAACCGCAAATCTATTTAATTCCTTTATGATTAGATTGGATTGGATTGGTTTGTTTCAAGATTATGTTTCACAACTGTGGAAAAACAACCAATATAGGATGGGGATAATGTCTAATTTGGTCAATTGTTTTTTACAGTACAAACTTTTGGCACGGGGTTATTACAAAGAGTTTATTTTGTGGACGTATTATTAAGAAATTAAATATTAAATTATATTATTTTTTATTTAATTGAGTTTAATACTTTGTTTAATAAACAAATTCGATATTGTATTAATTTCAAAAATAAAAGTATTATGAAAATATTTTAATACCACCGAGAGAGGTGATATTATAATCTAACTCAAACATATTACTCTAAATATTTACTATTATATCTCTGTAACTGATAAAATCAAGCAGTCATTAATATAACAAACACTAATTAAATATATTTTTTGTTAATTCAACAATAACACAATGAAATAATTTTTCAAACCAAACAACTAATTAAATTAAATAACTAATATCTAACGTTTATGTTATGTATTGATAAACATTAGATAAAATTACTTTTTATTCTAATAAGGACCTTGAAAGGTCTATCTTATCTGTCAATAAGCATATCTTACAACCGAATCCCCTAGATATGCATTGCAGCTGGTTGGTCTTCTGCTTCTTTACTCTTTTTTCTCGAAACTCAGGAAAGATGTTACATTTATCCTCAACTCTGTAACTAGATACCCGATTTTATTGGTTAGAATGTATCCTATCGTGATAGAACACTTAGGAACTTTAGTTAAGAGAACACTTAGGAACTTTAGTTAAGAGCTACTTTAGAGAGCTTCCAAGCAAGAAAAGAAAATTAGGCTTACAGGGATACAACAAGTAAAGTGTTGCTACACTTATTCGATGAAAATGAGTGTTATAAACTCAGCTTATATTCGTAAGATTCAGTACGTTTATATGTAAAAAAATTAAGTTACTCGGGTTCGGCTCAAACTCGTTCATTTAAAAAATGAGTCGAATTTAAATAATTTTTTAAACTCATTTTAAAAACAAGCTCGTTCTTTTGGCCAATTTACCACCCCTAATCGTAAACATTGTGAGTGTCAAGTTCTAACACAATATTATAACATGATACGAGTCCAACGCTAAATTAACATGAAATGGCTTACTATAAAAGAACTTTAAAATTGCCATGAAATGCTAAAACAAAAAATTAAAAGGGTCGGAAAGTATCAAACATGAGTAACTCGATTCTCTCACGATAAATTTATTTAAATGAAACTAAGGGAAAAATGAGTAATTTTAAATTTTTTATTTAGTTTTTGTAATGTATTGGATGAATTTGGGTAGAGTTTTCGATTTTTTTTTATGCGGTCAGATTGAGTTTATTTTTATTATCAGGGGTTCCACCTGAATGATTAATAATTAAATTGAATTTGTGTTAAATCATTACAATTAATTAAACAGATATGTTAAAATTAACTGCTACTACTTGGTACATGNTTTTGCATCTAGATTGAGTTTATTTTTATTATCAGGGGTTCCACCTGAATGATTAATAATTAAATTGAATTTGTGTTAAATCATTACAATTAATTAAACAGATATGTTAAAATTAACTGCTACTACTTGGTACATGATATTTATTCATTTGCTACTTTTTTTTATCTTTTCGTCAAACACAATTACAGGGAGCAGAGGACGACGGNATTTATTCATTTGCTACTTTTTTTTATCTTTTCGTCAAACACAATTACGGGGAGCAGAGGACGACGGACGATATTCAAAACATTGAAACTTTGATTCTATGACTTTAAAGTCTAACAGAGAGACGATAATAATTAAGCCGACCGATAATTTTCATATTTAAAGATTGAGATAATAAAAACAAAAAAGCATTTATGAGAANGGTCAAACACAATTACAGGGAGCAGAGGACGACGACGATAATTTTCATATTTAAAGATTGAGATAATAAAAACAAAAAAGCATTTATGAGAATTAATTAACCATAGAGCCCTGTTGGGACCCAGGGTCTGTTCAGTTTCCCTGTTTTATCTTTCTATAATTGCTTCTGCAGCCCAAAACATTACCTTGGAACCATGCAATTACTATTTTCTTCATACTATAGAGAGCTATGTAATCTCATGCCTAGGGATTTCTTTCATGAGTACTCTTGTGAAAAAGATATGTCAATTATTTCAATTTTTTTTTTGGTTCAATTTTTTGACTAATCTTCTCCTCGGTCTGATCAAATACAAGTTATCCACATCAAAACTAGTATANTGGTTTAATTTTTTGACTAATCTTCTCCTCGGTCTGATCAAATACAAGTTATCCACATCAGAACTAGTATATTCATTAGGTATAAATCTCTTGTGATCTAACCTTAAAAAATTACCAAAATTTGAATTCATGACGTATGGATTTAAAGTTCATCCCAATTTAATCGGACCAGAGAAAAAATTAATCAAGATGCACATAAACTAATCTGAATAATCCTCGTTGTTAAACAAAAAAATAATAATTTNGGTTCAATTTTTTGACTAATCTTCTCCTCGGTCTGATCAAATACAAGTTATCCACATCAAAACTAGTATATTCATTAGGTATAAATCTCTTGTGATCTAACCTTAAAAAATTACCAAAATTTGAATTCATGACGTATGAATTTAAAGTTCATCCCAATTTGATCGGACCAGAGAAAAAATTATCGAGATGCACATAAACTAATCTGAATAATCCTCGTTGTTAAACAAAAAAATAATAATTTTGGTAATGTGTAATGAGATCTTGTCTCAGGCGTGGTCAAACTAGGATTAGGGATTTGTGACCACTCTACATCCTCGTCAGATTTGTCTTCACCCAATTCAAAACAAATAATGATAATAATAAATAAATAAATGTGAAAATTGGAAGTGAGTCTCCCTAGATATACTTGTTTCGAGATAAGTCATACAAGAAAAATTATAAGGGACTAAGTCCAAGTTTAAAATTATAGTAATGATTTAAGTCCATTTTTTTTTATCTCAAAAATACCCTTCCTTGAAAGGAAGTNAAGTCCAAGTTTAAAATTATAGTAATGATTTAAGTCCATTTTTTTTTATCTCAAAAATACTCTTCCTTGAAAGGAAGTTAAATTATTTTCCTATTTTCAAAATTGTTATCATTTAATTCAATGACAATTAAAATATGCCAATAAAATTTCCATCATAAATATAAAATTCAAATTTAAAGCTCTCTCTCTCTCTCTCTCTCTCTCTCTCTCTCTATATATATATATACACACACACACGCTAGTAGTTGTTATGGAGATGATGCAAGTATAGTGGCTTTTGTGTAGTGGTGATGGTGGTGAGCGTTGTTGTGGAGGTGATGACAACGTGATGGTTGACATTGCTTGGGAGGTGACGATGGTGCGATAGCGCCAGTGCTATGGTGAGAAAAGTGGTAGCCGAACATATATATATAAATATTCAAATTTTTATTACTATTTTTTATATTTGTTACTATTATTTTGAGTATGTTACTGTTTTTGTTGAACATGTTACTACAATTATTTTACTAAATATTAATATTCAATGTTACTATTTTTTTTTTTGAATATTATTATTTTTTGTGTTTGAATGGTACTATTTTTTGTGTTTGAATTTGAGAGGAATAATTATTGTTAAATATGTTATAATTTTTGTTAAGCATGTTATTATTTTTGTTGAACATGTTAATNTAATTTTTGTTAAGCATGTTATTATTTTTGTTGAACATGTTAATATTTTTTTTATTTTTTAAAAATATTAATATTGAATGTTTTAATTTTTTTTATGTTTAAATGTTACTATTTTTTATTTTTAATGTTAATATATATATATATATATAACAAGATGCGGAATTCATGTGAGTTTAAGGAGGAGAATCACAAGATGAAAATATAAATGACAAAATATTGTTTTGTCTTTATAAAAATTCTTGTTTAATTGAACAAGAAGTAAATACAAATTACAGAAAATAAATACTTACAGTACTAGCACTAAATGGGCTAGTAGTGAAAGAGAATAGGTGAGAGTCTCTTTATTTGCATCATTATGAGAGATCTCAGAGTACAGGTTTACTTGTGAAGGTAGGAGAGAATTGTGTCTCTGGTATGTAATGTAGGTTTAAAAAAACATCTGCCTTCAACTGAAGTGAAGCAACCATTTTATAGGCGTAAAGATTACTTAGAGAATCTCT